ACTACAACAACGTATTTAATATATACTGAAATTCACAAAATGAGAATAATTTATAATTTGTTGAAATTCAAAAAATACGGCACGTGCCGTAATTCGATAATTTTCAAAATTAATTCTACACCAACTATAGCTATAACCGGTTATTTGACCGTATAACTGATCGTGGTCAACCGGTTATGAGCGACTAACCGATAATGACCGACCGAACCCATCCCTAATCCCGTATCAGTTTTAATTATGCATAAAGTGCATTCATCAGGTAAAATTCAATTCCGGTATATTATTTCCAATTTTGTACATGCGTGAATGCTTTGATAAAGCAAGACTTGAATGTGAGACAGGTTACGACTTATTGATTAACTTCGGTTCATATCAAATAGATTTTAATGTTAGGAAGGGTTAAAAAGAGTATTACACCAAAATTATGAGTAGAGTTTTTTTTCTTAGAGCACTAACAGCAGTTTCATAGCCAAAATTCCGAGGTAGAAAAAATTTTTGTCTTAATTTTGTTGATCAACCTGTCACACATTCAGGATTTGCATTAGGTAAAGATCATTTGTTACTGAACATATTATTTCGCGCACACAATCTTAAATATATCAAATAGGTCGCTACATATTATTCCACAATAAAGCGAACCGTACGATAACTAAACGATTTTGGTGAGGAATAGCACCAATGTTTGTTTCTATTCAATTCTTGCAAAATATGCATGCGAATTTATCTGCATGTTAATGTATTACCAACGATCCAGTTCGACAAATAAATTTTATACATTACACGAAAATTTTCTTTAGAATTAAGCTTAATCAAACATTTACGATGTCTAACAATTGTTTTAGACTTTTTTATCATTTATTTAACTTATTGTCCTTTTTTATTTTTTATTTTTTAATATTCTTTCCTCTTATTGGTTTGTTTTCATATATCACAATCGAACCGGTATATACCGTTTAATTAAGCATAATGTTTGTTGGTGTTATTACTATGGAATAGGGGTCGAGGTTGAAAGATAAAGAGAAAATATAAACAAAAACAAAAAAAAAAAAGTCCAGACTTTCCAATCTACAATACAATCTACAGTATATAAAGAGTAAAATAAATCTACCTCGTAAAATCAGTTCTCCATCCGTCAATTATTTAATCTATTGCTTGGAAATTATAAGCTGAAATTTCAAAATTTCAGGTAATTAGCCCTTAATTTTATGATAAATATTTATTGAATAAAAACTAGAGAAAAACACATGCATCAGCTTATGTTATGCCATCTATTCGCATTTGAAATTACCTATCTCTAATAAAAAATTTTGTTAATTAATTTTTATTTTTTCAGCAGAATCTTCGACGAATCTTTCATCATTATTTATTACATCTAAATTTGTGAACGTACATTTGTGAATAATAATTATAAACAAAATGTCCCAAGCCTCATTGTCACCTGAATATTATGCGGCACTAGAACAACTTCAACAAGGTTTTGATTACTATAAAGATAAATCCATTGAAGAACAAAAACATGCCTTAGATGCCCTGCCCACAACGATTCCGGATACACATACCGTGAATGAGGTTAAATTAGATGATAAATTCGTGATTAAAAGTAAAGAATATATAGAGAATGGATTAAAAAAGTATGAAGACGTTTTGGATGAAAATTGGAAATGTTTAGATAATGGATTAACTGGAGAATGGATTAGACTTAAGAGTTGTAAAGATTCAGAAAGTGTCATACTTTACTTTTTCGGTGGCGCTTTTTATATGGGTTGTGCTAAACAAGCTCGTTCCATGACTTGTGAAATTGCCGAAAAGACTGAACTCCCTGTTTTTAGTAATTTATATATTTTTTTAATATATATATATACGTCTTACCAAAAATATATTCATAAAATTTAATTTACATTTAATATTAGCATTTGACTATCGCCTTAATCCACAATATGAATTTCCTTCTCAAATTTGCGATGCCGTAGCCGCATATTTATATCTTATTAACCCTGGACCTGATTCTGAATTTAAACCAATTGATCCTAAAAAAATTATATTTGCTGGATCCAGTGCTGGTGGTGGATTAGCTATGGGTACCGCATTATTTATTCGTGATGTTGGTTTACCATTGCCGGCTGGAATTGTTGTATGGGTATATATAATATATACATAGATATATATATAATTGATTTGTTTTTATTTAACAGATTAACAATTCATTTTATTAATAAAACTTTTTCAAAAAAGTCTCCTTGGGTTGATTTAACAGCTAGCATGCCATCATACTGGGAACCTGAAATGGATAAAACCGACCACATTCCTAAGTTGCTAGTCTGTCCTGATCTTGGACCACCATGTCCAATGTCAATTGAATATCTTGAACGTGCTAAGATTGTCTCTGAAAGGATTAAACAAAAAAAGCCAAACGTTGTCGGTCACCCTTCTTTTACTAAATTTCCAAGACTTAGGTTATATTGTGCAAATGAAGCTTTGGCTATTCCTTATGTTAGTCCAATGTTGGCTGAAAGTTTGGGAAATTTGCCACCTATTTTAGTTGTAAGCATACAATTATTATAAGTTTATCATTATGCCATTTTTCAATTATAAACGATGCTAACACTTGATATATAATATAGCAAGTCGGTGGTGGAGATAGATTACGGGATTCTGTAGTTTTGCTTAGCATTAGAGCTTCTGATCCGACTAAATATCAAATACCTAAATACGCTACTACAAATTTTGAAAATTCGCCATTTAAGAAGCCCACAGAAGTTACACTTGAACTTTATGATGATGCATGTCATTGTTTTCAGGTAAATTTTATTCAATAAAATTTTAGAATTTTCTTGAACCTAATTTATATTTTTGTACATTTTTTTATAACTAATTCATATATAATTTTTTTCATATATTTAATTGTAATTAATTAGTTAATACCTTTTGAAAAAATTACTAAATTTTCAATGCAAAGAGCCTTTGATTTCATGAAATATCACCTTTCACTTGATAAAAATACCAAAAATATCCCTAATCATGCTCAGAAAACTCTTAATGCCATGGCAATTAATCCTAATTGCGAAATTAGAGAATTTGATGAGAAATTTATGGAATGTTTAAAATGGGAAAACATTGGAGTTATACCAGATGTTAAAGATGCCTAAGATTAGGATTAAGTTTTACTGATCATGTGGAATAATAAATGTTCATCAAAAACTATTATCCATCATTATAAATTTAAATTTGAAAAGGATGAATTAGTTTTTTAAAGTGTTTACTTTAAATTTTGAATAATCATCATATTAGCATTTTTATTTTTTGAATTTCAACAAATTATAAATTATTCTCATTTTGTGAATTTCAGTATATATTAAATACGTTGTTGTAGT